AAAAGTAGGAAAATAAAATCTCTCTGGAATAAATAAGACACCGAACTGGATCATTATCCCTAAAAATTTTGAATATTATTCGTAAAATTTTAATTTTTTTTCTAAAAATACAACATTCATAAACATAAAAGGCACACGTTTGATGGTTTCATGAATAAATTTATGTTATAGTTAATGTTGAAATGATTCAGACTGTAGAGTAGACTATAGTTTCCTACTTTTTTGTAGGAAACTAGCATAATATTAGACAAACTACAAGTTTTTATGTAGAGATACATCTTAAGCACTGAAAAACTCTAAATATAATCCATAAGTATCTTGGAAAATATAATTTATGCCAAGCCTGATAATCTGAGTTCAATGCCTAGGAACCACATGGTAGAAGGAGAAAAACAATTTCCATAGTTTCTTGTCTGACATTCACACCTGTGCCATTCCTGACTCTCTTTCTCATACACACATGAAAACACACAAAATTGGTAAGTAAATTAAAAGTTTTAAACCTCATTTTAAAGGGTATTCACTGTTAAGAAATCTTGTATTGTCAAGTGAGAAGAGTCATATGAACATGTTAGTAAGCTTCAGTACCATGTAATACAAGGTGAATACAATTCTGATAAAATATGTAATAAATTATGAAGAAATACAGACTTCATGTTGCAGTAGATATTTATTTGTATGTGTACATTTAAAACTTGAAACTTAACCTTCAACATTTAAGGAATTTTTGTGAAAATAAGGAGAGAAAGGACAAAATAAGGACTACTAAAAATCATAAATATTGTTTATTATTATAAAAAGAAATCCAAGGGAGCTGGAGAGATGGTTCAGTGGTTAAGAGTACATGCTATTCTTGCAGAAGACCTGGGTTCAAATCCAAGCATCCATATGATGGCTAACAACCGTCCTTAACTCTTGTTCCAGGGAATCTGACACCCTTTTCCATCCCTCGCAGGGACTGTATGACATGAATGCACTTAAACACATGCAGGCATAACACTCATACACATAAAATTAAAAAAAGATCCAGAGATAGAGAGATGGTCAGAGGTTAAGAGCACCTACTTCTATTCCAGAGGACCCAAGTTCTTCTTCCAGCAGCCTGTCAGGTGGCTCCAGCTCCGGCACCTGGGGGATCCAAATCTTCTGGTTTCCATGGGCACCTGCACTCACATTCTCAGATACAAATATGCCTAATTAAAACTAAAAAGATAAAATAGATCCAAATGGAGCAATTAGAAAACATAACAAATTATATAATAGTGCCAAAGAAAGAATACTTATAATTGTGTGAATATGTATTTGTAAAGCAATAAAAATCCAAAATAAACAACTGAAAAATTAAAGACATTTAAATAATTGCATGTTCAGTTTTGGGGTTAATATGAAAAATAAATGCTTTTATTTTTCACTTCACACATTCATCCAACATTATTATTTGTTTGGGCTCTTTGTTTGCTTTTATTTATGTTTGTTTTCAGAAAAGTTCTCACTATGGAGCTTAGGCTGACCTTATCTCAAAAATCATTGTATCTCAGCCTTTGAAATTCTAGAATTACAGATGTGCACCATTATGCTAAGCAGTGTTTTAGGCACTAGGGCCTATTGTAGTGA